CTGTTTTGCTATTTGCCCTGAAAGGAAAAAGGAATGCGAAATTATTGAAGCCAAGAAAACTGTCACTTCAAAGAAGACCACTCCCCAGGCACCACCAACGATGTCCCAAACTTCCTTCCCAGCTCTCCCTGGATCAAGTGGGACTCCTCAGGTCTCTCCAATGGTTCCCAATGTTTGGAATTCTCCCCCTCTTGGAGCGCCCAATCTAACCTCACCTACAACATACACAAACGCAACAAAAAGGTTCGTTCATCTATGTCTCAGGTATCCGCAGCCGGCGATATGACGAGAGCAAACTAATGTATATGATGGCCAAAGACATAGCAGGTGGTGACATTCAACTTGCTCTCAAGTTTTAAATGATTGTTAATGGCTAATGGGATCACTCCCATCACTATCCAGAAAATGTGAAGGCTATTATGACCCAGCTTCTCTTAACAAGAAGTATGTACCCTACTCTACATCTAAAAATAAACCCTAAGTCATCCCGGGCCCCAGGGATCGCTCACCTCGTTACCCAGGTTAACTTCCCTCAACCCGATAAGTCAACACTTGAACATAAAAATGCCCCAGAAATTTGGTGCCTACTCTCCCGCTATTGAAGCTGATCCGGGTTGAACGGAACTTTCCCGGGTAAACTCACCTTGCCTACCAATTTTCCCTTGGGAGCTCCACAGTTCCCTTTTAACTCTCACGAGCCTCTGCTTCCTGTAACTGGGAATATATACCTCCGTTTTCTGATGTGATAACGTTCTAATGATCTGTTAATATTACTACCTCTAGTGAAGATGATGGCATTTTTAATACACAAGCACCTACGCGGGAAGTTCCCCCTCCCTTGACGAGTCCACCCGGAATAGTGTGGATACCACATATGACACTACTTGCAGGCGTTCAGACCGCAGTACACGAGCGAAGGGCAGAAATAATGGGGATTAACAATTAATGTTCACTTAATGTTCAACATTTTTTTAAATTTAAACGTTACCTTCTTGAGGTTGAACTACTTAATTACATCCCGATGTTATACTTTTAAAAGAGACAGCTGCAAGAGTTGATCAATATTAAATTACGTGGTTACTGTATGGGGAAAGAATCGAGAGGACCCTTTGTGGTGTAGCCATTTTAGTTAAATTAGGCTATACTTTTAAAAAAATATTCATGTTGATAAAGATAACAATAGAAATGACAACGTCTCATGGACAACTAGTGATGGGAAAACTGGATATTTTCCCCCGAGACAACAATATATAGAGTAAATTCCTTACATAGGATTTTAAAGCAGAAATATTCAACAATTTTAGCGGGGATTTTAATGCTATCACCCTGCCTCTTAAACTGTGGAGTGGTATTCCACTGGGTGATTTAAAAGGAAAACAACTCTTTAATATCATGACAGCTAGAAACTTGTCTTTTCAAGGCCCATTCTTTAAATCGTACATTGGCCCTCATCCGGGGCACCAGATATAGTTTCTGACAAACAGAGACTGTGACATCTTTCACTGTGTATATCTCCTGGTGGAAATGTTGGATCTGACCCTATCCCTGTTATAATACAATACAAACTTCTCCATTTAGAATACCTGTTTCCCCTAAACCAATCTTAACACCCTAAAATTTGACCCTTCAGGGCTTTCTGGGTGACGATGAAATTGTGTCATTGGAAAATCTACCTTCCCCTGCCCAAATTTATGATGCAATCAGGGCCCTGCATAATCGAATAATTGAAGCTACTAATGCAAAGTGTCAATTAGCTTCCACAAAGATTTACCAACAATATAAACCTCTAGGGAAATTAGAGACAATTTAAGAAATTATCAAGCAGAATGTCGAAGGCATCTTCAAACGCGACAACCACCAGCAGCTACACGCACCAATAGGCAGAAATTAATTAACATTTATTAGTCATCACAACGGGACTTATGGAAACTGCTAGTTTTCAGCTAATCAGTACAAACGTGAACCCGCAAAATTTTGGAGTAAGATCCCACAACTTTTAGGGGCAAAGCACAAGGCTCCTAACTACCTAGTTCATACCTTCACTGATGAGGTGATGAAGATGTTGAAATTAAACTTGACGATCCACAGGACCAGGCTAATTTGATGGGTGATGTATGAGAGAAATTCTCTCCCACAATAACAGTCGTCAATTTAACAATATATCATTATCAGTTGGTAAATGAATGGAGAGATGAGGGCTTGGATGATCTACAAACACTACCTTCCATCGATACTTCAACTCTTGAAGATACCCCCGCTTACTGACTAATTACATTTACTAGAGATGAGTCAGGTTATTGGAAGAATGCGCAATAGAGCCCCTGGCCTCTTGGAATAACAATTTAAACAAATAAAATTCCTCCAGAAATTGTAAACAGTCTTTGGTAAATTTCTTTAATGCCATCTTGCCTCAGGACATTTTCAGTGGTTTTTAAGATACTAGGATGATCTTTCTGGGGAAGCCCAATAAAGACATTCACCAACCTGGGAACTATAGACCTATATTTTTTACTTGAGTCACTGGAAAAGTTCTTGAAAGGTATTTCCAACAGATTGAACTACTTATGGAGTTTAATCACTTTTTTACTGAAAAACAATTTTGGCTTTAGAACACATAGAGGTACCAATCATGCAATAAATGTTATTTTTTGATACTGTAGCAAGGGCTAAAACATCAGGGGAAACTTGCCTTAATTGCCACCAGAGATGTTTTATAAAGCTTTTGTTAGCTTATGGCTGATGGCCTTTTATACAAACCAATGACCCACCCGACCATTCTGGACTTTCCTCAGAGTAATGTTTAAAATTTCTTAACTCAAAGAAAAATCATTCCCACCTTTCATGGCAGGTCGACAGAGCCTTTTATACCGACGGCTGGTGTTCCACAAGGTTTTTGTTCAGTCCATTCTGTTCAACTTTATGTGAATGACTTCCTCAACCAGAGTTTAGTGATTTCGATTGTGACACAGTTTGCAGATGATGTTTTTCATGTCTCTCATCAACTCCGGGGAACAGGAAAATACAAGTATGAGAGAGTCATAGAAAAATGAATATTGAACTTCGTCGAAACATCTAATTGGGAAAAGAAGTGGAGAATTACGACTAATCCTGACAAGGTCCTTGTTAGCACGATAGGATGTTTTGCATCAACAATTGAAGATAAAGGAGGTATCTCCATCAGAGGGGACCCTGTAGCCATTAGAAACCCTAACAAGATTTTGGGATAAAGAAATGGAAAGGCTGCTACTCAACATCTCTGTAACTAAAAGATCAACATAGCCAAAGCCGGTCTTAGCGTCTCTTTCGATTCAATCAAGCCCTCAACATGTCAAAAAACATCTGTATAAAATGTTAATAAGACCTATACTCGAATACCCTTGTGTCCCAATGTCATTAAAAAACAAAGACAAATATGCTACGGTTACAAAGGGTCCAGAATAGAGCTCTTCGCTTCATTACCGATACCAGGAAGAGAGACAGAGTAAAATGGCAGATTTACACATACAACAAGATATTACTGCCATAAATGTACGCCCTTGACACCCTAAAAAGAAACAACTCTATACAATGCAAGAACTATACATGCCGATAGAGAACATCCTACACAAGTGGTAATTTCCAAAGGATTACATCAATATCCTCCTCACAGGACTCAAAGAATGACTCTCCCACAGAGGGTCCGTCGTTTTATAATAAAGATGATTACCCTCGACCCCTGATATTGGGCAACCCCCTGATGAAGAAGATTGGGTTAAAACCAGAACCCCTTTTATGTATACTGAGAAAATCATCGCCCCAATTAGGGAGACTATAACAATCTAATGTAAAAAATTATGCTATTTACTATGGCTGGACATTCCTGTAAGAAACCATTGTCACGGGAATTCTATTAACTGGCCAGTAAATTATTGCCTTCATTGTCGCATAAAATATTCGTTGTGCAATCGCAAAAAAAAAAAAAAAAAAAAAAAAAAAAAAAAAAAAAAAAAAAAAAAAAAAAAAAAAAGCAATTTCAACTTGTATAATTACTACCAATTCAGAGTCATGTACTTATATTCTGTTATATCTATGTGACTCTGATGGGTTAGTCTTATACCTCTTAAAGAATATCTTATCATTTCACGTACACTTTTTAAATTACACCAAAGTGGTTGGGCCACTTACCTTTTATATCCTACCTCTCTCCCCCCGCCCACCCTTTTCCAAAATTTCTATCCTTACCCATCCTTCTTCCTTACCCATCTCACCAAAGCTCTGGTCTGGATACCGAGATACTGGTTAATGTGACTTTGTCAATGGTCCAAGTCGGACCGAAAAGTTGTCGTAAGCTTCTCTTTTATGTGCGGGTTATTTGTGTATCGTTCCAGTCACGGTATTGTGCCCTTTTTTTTTTTGTTATTATCTGTACTGTGGGCCACGGTCTTGTGCAATGATGGTTGTATATTTACGGTTTTAGATGGTTGTATATTTACTGTTTTTGTGGTGGTTTTGGTAGTGTCCCTAGGAGAATCTGGGTTGGCAGTAAGGCTGGGTCTGGGTCAGTAAAATATGTCACCTCTGCTCCTTTTGCCCTCCAGTGACGTCAGGTTAAACTCATCTAGCCTCTCCTGATGTCATACCTCTCAGCTTTGGGACTAGTTTTGTTGCAATTTCGCACTTTATACGCTTAACCAGATGTAGGTTCCATATGAGCCCTGCTTATTTAAGATGGGCCTGACATATGCCGTGAATGCCTCCTTGTTGATTTTTCTGAAAGCTATCCTTAAATTTACGTCTTGCACTTGCTGCAGTGGGTATTCAGTCAATGTGTGCATCAAGCGAAATTCTTGATGAATTCAGGTCCTGGTTCGAGATGACTAATAATTTATTCCTTGTGGAAAGGTTTAGTTTGTGGAAAAGATACCATTCAAGGGATTCCTTGATGTTGGTGAGGGGCTCTTGATTAAGCTAACGCACAGTAGGCATTATAAATACAACAGAATAATACAAACATATTGGTGTACGTTTTATATTATTGTATTGTATCATACAAATTTTTGGAAATTAGACAAAATAAATACAATTTAAAAAAGGTTGCAATATTAGCCTATGTTTATTATTGCAATTTGTACAAATAATTAGAGAAACACTATTTTATACTGAACAAGTATCAATATGCAATTGTAAATAAAGATTTGCATGAAACAATTTAAAACATACCATACTGTTACGTAATACACCTATGCATATTTACATTCATTTTATGTAAAATAGTTTCTCCATAATTATCAAATGTATATGCAGCAGAATAATGACTGAAATTATATACAATTTAAGTATCTTCCATCTAGATATAAACAATATGAGATCAAGACGTCATGGTCAGCTGTTGGGAAGCTTGTCTGGAGTATTCATAGCTCATAAATACTTTTTTCATATTGGTAAAGAATTTACTAAGAATATCAATTAACATATGACCTTAGAATATGTACACGTATGGCGACTGTGTTCCAAGACAATGTATATTCTACTTTAACCCACCAAATAAGCCAATAGGCATATCTATTTATATTATACCCTTTCAGAAAAATCACATTTTGCATTGATAATAGTCAGTATTAGTTTATGCTCACATCAGCCATCCAGTAATGTTGTTTTTACTGAATATTCAATTGTCGTGTGTTAATAAGTCATTTATATTTCTTCTATTCACCAGTAATTATTCATTGGTATGTAACATGGATCCAAACGCTTTTTGCCTCATGATTACAAATTTTAGTGAATGCTTTATCAAAATGCAAGGTAAAACGATGGCTGGGCTCTTCAGGGAGATCCACTGAGGAAAGAGATGCGAAGATGTGTGCGAAGTGATTATCTGCTTTTTACGCGGTCTACTGTTTTTTTCTGCTGGTTCCTAGTGCTAGTCTATTTGCTCCCCGGGAGTGTTAATTTGGTGAGTTACACCTATTACTCAAGGATTTCATTCCATTATACGTAAACCGCGAGGGGAAAATGAAGAGGGTTATTGTAAAATGATGGTCAACAAGGAGCTCCAGACCCCACCTTTGAAGAATTTGGTTCAAACTTATCAAATAAACAATTTCGAAAAAATAAGATAAATCAACTAGGTAATTTATGCCATTAACAAATATTTCTCCATGCTTTAATCAATTTGTATGTAGCCATTAAGAAATGAAAGATCAAAGAATAACAGTTTTTGAAGCTATCAAAAGAAATATCAAAGAATAGCATTCTTTGAAAGAATCTACCCATAGATTCTGAATCTTGTTACTAGGTTTTGAAAGATGATACTACATCCACCACGGTGTTGTGGAGACTGTCCAACTGAAATAAAATCATATAAATAATGAACTTTATTAGTAAGAAAAGCTAAGGTTCTTTTAAATAATGTATTTCAAGATCCACCAATGCCCATTTAAATAGACGTCCACATTTATATACATTCAAGAGAGGAATTTATAATTATATACCCAATTTATCTACATATTAATATACGTATTTATATTTATTCATAAAAATGCGCTAAATCTATTAGGGTCATATAGAAGACCAGTAAAAATACTGTAGGCAGCTGTCTGAAATTTATCTCATATTTATTTACAGTTTACACAGTTGAATTTATTTCAGTTCATGCCGCAGCCTAGCCTTATCTATGGTATACTACCATTTTCTAAGATGCAACCAACAACAGCCAACTAACTCAAGTACTTATTTAATGGTAGATGCACAGGGGCTGATGGAGACTTGTCCACGTCTTATTCTACCTCAGCAAGAACACTTAAACCCTCGTTGCATGAAGATTTACCGCAAATTTCACAATACAACACAAATTCCTAATTAACATCTACGCCATTTGCATTCTCAAAAAAAATTTCCCTTTGGGGGCATTTCGATAATATAACAATCTGTTTAAAGTGTGCACGAACAGACATTGTAATAGCAAGTAATTCGAACATATTTCTAGCTTTTTAAATAAAAGATACTACAAGCTATGTAAATTGAGACGTAAGTGAAAACTATTCATCATAATAAAGTGCATCACACCTATTGGTGGATCCTACAAAGGTGAAAGAGTTCCTTGATGCTAGTGAAGGGATCTTGTTCCTAGGAACTGGAACTCCCTTCTTCTTCCTTGGATATCTGTACCTACTATTCCTCAGGTGCTATATGACCCCTATAGGTTTAGTGCTTCCCTTTCAGTATACTAATAATAACCTGTTGGTGAAAAGTGGTGTTCATATCCTGGGCAATTGTGTACAGTTCTTGAATGCGAGCCATGACAGTTTTTTCCTCTTCGTGCAGCTGACACAAATGACTCATACATTCCTCAATGGAGGTTTCAAGCTCATTTTTACTCTGATCACTGAAGTCTGTGAATATTAAAGCACAGTAGGACAATTTATAGTAGAGAAGTACATTATACGAACAAAATAAAACAAGTGGTGACGCAAATGAAAGGATATTTTAAAAGGGATGGTTATATTAATCAAGGATTATTTTTATGCTCTTAAATATGTGGCTTAAAATAATTTTGTATGTTTAAAATCATTTATGATCTTTTTCCTGAAACATGGACAATTGGTGTTAATTAAAATAATTACCAATAGTTGAATTTTTTTGCGAACGGTTGGGTGTTACATCTAATGCTTTTCATTTACTTCCTGATAGGCATCTCCACACTCCGTGAAAATGATAAAAAGGGGGTTATATTTAATGACGAATGTTATCATTGTTATTACAAATATTTTTATATGAGCTTACCCTTCCAAATGACAACCGGGTCAGACGAAGTCTTTAAGTTATCTGAGTTGATTATAGAAGCCATTAATTTCTGGTTAGCTTCATCACTCTCCTCTGACAGTCGTTGTTTCTTGACACTGATCTCCGTCGCGTGTTGCTGTTCCTTGGTGTGATGCTGCTGCATAGTGACACTGAAATTGATAACAATAATATTAATAATAAAGTAGATTATATCCATGACATATTTTAAACATAACTATCTGTATTATGAACTCAAGCTATATTTAGATGGGAACAGTGGAGTTGCTAGGGTTGGTGTCACCCGGGGCGGCATCTTTTGGTGTCACCCCCATGAAATCCAAGGGCGGTGGGGATGGAGGGGGGAAGTAAACTCCAGTTACGTACTACTGCATGACCAGTGACTAATGTTTAGCAATGAGAACGTTTAAGGGCCATAAACCGAACAGGAGAATACTTCTCAACTTTATTAATGATAAAATAAATAATCGTAGTAATATTGAGGAAACAAACTCAAATACCACTTTGAGTACAGGCAACAGATCCTACATTTATTCATCTTCAACACTGCAACCTTCATAACTTTGCACTTGGTGGAATTAAATTCTAGTATCCACGTTTCAGACCAGACCTGAAGCTTCTCCAGATCCATTTGTAGGCGTTTTTGGTCCTCCTCTGCGAACAGGTATATTTCTGACTTTTATCTTCCGTCATGTCATTCACGTATAAAAGAGCAGCATCGGTTTTACAGCAGCACTAACTCTTGTGGAACCCCACTCGTCACATGCACCTATTCCGACACTTCTCGAACAATAGCTCCTCGTTTGCCTCCTGTTAGATATGCCTTGATCCACTGTAGTGCCTTCTCTGTTATTCCTGCCTCCATGTATGTACTCAATGTATGTACTCCATGTATGTACACAAGGGTATCTTGGTACAGACCTGAAATCAACTTTATCAACTTCTACTAGTGAGAATGGCTGGATTTAAGAGGGACCTGACCTTCCAACGACATCATTCTTATCTCTACTAGTGGCCTACATCTCACCTCCTGGCGTTATATAAGGCTCCATCCTGTCACTTCAACTCCATATTGTTTCAGACTATGGGACAATACTCTTCTCCAGACTGAGGGACTGACCACCTCAAAACTTCAAGGGTGATGGACTGATTACATCGTCTTCAAGTATCTTCTGTTTCTATCAACTTTTCTGTACTCGACTGAAGAAGCCTACTGTGTAGGCTTACCTAACAACCTGTCGGTATTTTATACCATTTGAATGTTCACACTACACCTGTTTGAAGAGATAAATTAAAAATATTAGTTAATGGTTCACAGAGTTCCATTTTGCATTCCTTAAGAACCCTTGAAAAAACCTCATCAGGACCCGGCGACTTATTTTGCTTCAGTCTGTCTATGTGCTTCACAACCATTTCACTAGTGACTGTGATGTTACATAATTTATCTTCTTCTAGCCCATTATAAAAATTAATTACTGGAATATTGTTAGTGTCTTCCTGTGTAAAAACCGAGAGAAAATAATTATTTAAAATCGAGCACATTTCATTCTCTTTGTCAGTAAGATGCCCATAGTCATTTTTAAGGGGACCTATCTTATCTCTAACCTTTGTTCTATAGACCTGGAAAAAACTTTTAGTTTTAGTTTTAGAATCCCTAGCAACTTTAATTTCATAGCCCCTTTTAGCTTTTCTTATCCCCTTTTTAATGTCCCTCTTAATGTCAATACACTGATTCATAAGATGACCCTCACCTCTTATGATACGCCTATAAATTCCTTTCTTATGCCCTAGTAGATATTTCAGCCTATTATTCATCCATTTTGGGTCATTTCTATTTGATCTAATTTCTTGATACGGGATAAACGTTCTTTGAGCAGCATGTACAGTGTTCAGAAAACTGTCATATTGATAGCTCTCTTCGTTTCCCCAGTCAACAGATAGTAAGTGTTCTCTAAGCCCATCGTAATCTGCTAAGCGAAAATCTGGGACTGTTACTGAGTTATCCGTACTATCATACTTCCATTCAATGCTAAATGTAATTGATTTGTGGTCGCTAGCACCGAGCTCCTCTGAAATTTCTAAATTATTAACAAGGGATTCATTGTTTGCCAGAACTAAGTCAAGCAGGTTATTACCCCTTGTAGGCTCTGTCACAAACTGCTTCAAAAGACAATCCTGAACTACTTCTAAGAAGTCGTATGATTCTAAATTCCCGGTCAAGAAATTCCAATCAATATGACTAAAGTTAAAGTCTCCTAGAATTACTACATTATCGTGTCTTGTGGCCTTAACAATTTCCTCCCATAGTAGTCTCCCTTGGTCCCTATCTAAGTTTGGGGGACGGTATATCACACCTAAAATCAATTTTTCATGCCTCCCTGAAAATTCTATCCAAACAGACTCTGTATGTGTTACTTCAGATTAATACCCGTTTTTATGCAACAGTTCAAGCGATCTCGGACATACAATGCCACCCCACCCCCCTTCCCGATACTTCTATCTACTTGGAACAATTTAAAACCCTGAATGTGACACTCCGCAGGCATGTCTCGATTTTTCATATTGAATCACGTCTCAGTTAAGGCAAATACATCAATGTTACCTGCACTAGCAACTAGTCTCAACTCGTCCATCTTGTTCCTATCACTACGAGTATTTGTGTAATATATATTTAAGGACCCTGATTTCTCTTTACCCTTCCTGCTCCTTTCTGTTATTCCGCTAAACCTATTACTGTCCTTGTCAATTAGTGTCACTGGCTTTTCAATATCCACCTCATTGTGCCTATTACTAGTTCTCCTAGTACTCATATTACTACCCTGCGACTTCACTGTTTTCCCGCCAAAACCCATACCACTAACTATTCCTAGTTTAAAGACGTAACAGCTCCCTCCACTGCGTTGGCCAGTGCTCCCACCCCACACCTAGATAAGTGAACCCCATCCCTGGCATACATGTCATTTCTGCCATAGAAGAGGTCCCAGTTGTCAATGAATGTTACCGCATTTTCCTTACAGTATTTGTCCAGCCAGCAATTGACACCAATTGCTCTGGACAACCATTCATTTCCAACTCCTCTTCTTGGCAAAATACCACATATGACATTGTTCCCACCCTTCCTCCTAATTATCTCTATTGCTGACCTATACCTGCTAATCAGGTCCTCACTCCTACGTCTGCCAACATCGTTGCCTCCAGCACTGAGACAGATAATAGGATTGCTCCCATTACCTCTCATGATGTCATCCAGACGGCTAACAATATCCTTCATCCCAGCCCCAGGAAAACACACTCTCTGCCTTCTACTCCTATCCTTCAAGCAGAATGCCCTATCCATGTACCTAATCTGGCTATCCCCAACAACAACAATGTTTTTACCTTCCTTGGCGACGTCCGTCGTGATGTTCCCAGTAATCGACTCACACTCGTTAGGTAGCACTACACCTTCACTTGTGGAATTCGTAAAGACGTTCTCGATGGTTTTCGTTGGGGTTTCTAGGGATGTCTCACTCACGTCAGCCAATGTTTCCTTGGTGCTCGTTGTGACATTCCCAATAGAACACCCACATTCGTCAGGTAGCACCGAAAATGGGTTGGAAGTTTCCACAGTAGTCTTCTGGGTCCTTGTTGTTTCTGCCTCTCCAACAGTCTTCTTGATCCTCAGCTTGGTTCCATGTTGCCCAGCCACTGACCAAGCTCCCCTCTTAACCTGGGGACTCACAACAGGATTACTTCGAATCCTCTTGTTCTCCTCCGTTAATCGCCGTATCTCCTGCTTAGCAACCCTGAGCTCTTCTTTCAGCTGCTGGTAAAGTTGCTTAAGAGAGGGCATCCTGGTTCAGATTCACAGAGAGCACACAAACAGGTCTTCACAGAGCTAAGTACACCTCACCACTCAGTTGAATAAGGCTGGTTGTCCCTTTTTGGATTGTAAAAAGTATTTCTAGCAACTTTAAAAGATTTATCAATTACATTTCTTGGGTATTTTAAATCATTACCAAGATAGAGTCAAACTGTCTGTTTTCTCATCAATGTTTTTGAGAGCTTTACGAATTTGTAGTCCTGAGTTCATAGATGAGGAAATATCCAAAATTTATGAAATAGGTAATGATTTAAAATACCCAAGAAATGTAATTGATAAATCTTTTAAAGTTGCTAGAAATACTTTTTACAATCCAAAAAGGGACAACCAGCCTTATTCAACTAAAAATATGTTGGTTCTCCCTTACCGTGAAAACTTGGTTGATATGCATTCTCTTCTTAAGACTTTTAATATTAAAGTTGTATTCAAAAATCTTGATACAGTAAAAAAACTTTTGATAAAGAATTCCCCCCAAAATGCTGATGGATGTGTCTATAAGATTCCTTCTAAAATTTGCGATAAAGTTTATTACGGTCAAACTGGTAAAAATCTCGAACTAAGATTAAAACAACATAAATATAGCATTAGAACTGGACAAGATTCCAATGCTCTATTTATTCATGTAAGAGATTTTAACCATTCAATTTATTTTCAAAAAGTTGAGAAAGTAGTATCAAGCAAGTCCATGGTCGACAGGAATATAATTGAATCTTGTTTCATAAAAAGCAGTTTTGACAATAATATGAATATTTCCTTTGGTTTATATAAATTAGATCCATTTATAATTAATAGAATTTGGGAAGAATTTAATAATACACTGGACAAATAGTATTTTTTAAAATTTTCTTGGGTAGAATAGTTTGTTGGTGGGTTGTGCGAAGGACCTGTCCAGTTGGGCCGGGGCGCGTCAGGTGTTTAACTGTTGTGGGATCTGATAGTGAGGTGTTGGCCAGACCCCTTATATACCTTCCTTGGATGCTTTACTTTCATAGTTCCTTGATAATGTGAGTAGTCACGAAAGCGCTTGGAATTTCTCTATTCTTTCACAGTGGTTGTTTTGCATATTCTGAAATCACCTGTTTACTGTGATCTTATTGCATATATATATATATATATATATATATATATATATATATATATATATATATATATATATATATATATATATATATATATATATAAAACACATCGGCAGATTCCCACCAAGGCAGAATGGCCCGAAAAAGAAAAACTTTCATCATTCACTCTATCACTGTCTTGCCAGAGGAGTGCTTTACACTACCGTTGTAAATCTGCAACATTAACACCCTTCCTTCAGAGTATATTATTATTATAATAAAAAAGAAGCGCTAAGCCACAAGGGCTATACAGCTTCAGAGTATAGACACTGTACTTCCCATCTCCAGGACTCAAGTCCAGCCTACCGGTTTCCCTGAATCTTTCATAAATGTTACTTTGCTCACACTCCAACAGCACGTCAAGTATTAAAAACCATATGTCTTCATTCACTATCAAATACGCTCACGCATGCCTGCTGGAAGTCCAAGCCCCTCGCACACAAAACCTCCTTTACCCCCTCCCTCCTACCCTTCCTAGGCCGACCCCTGGGGTCAATATTTACATCGGTCAGCAAGACTTACTCTGTCAATCGTTTGAGGACGATTCCTGGTGACTGTGGGGGCGGCATGGCAGGTTTGACCTCACGAAGAGATTCCATTATCCAACACGATCACCTGGAAGGTTCACACGATCACCTGGAAGGTTCACACGATCACCTGGAAGGTTCACACGATCACCTGGAAGGTTCACACGATCACCTGGAAGGTTCACACGATCCACCAGGAAGGTTCACACGATCACCTGGAAGGTTCACACGATCACCTGGAAGGTTCACACGATCACCTGGAAGGTTCACACGATCACCTGGAAGGTTCACACGATCACCTGGAAGGTTCACACGATCACCTGGAAGGTTCACACGATCACCTGGAAGGTTCACACGATCACCTGGAAGGTTCACACGATCACCTGGAAGGTTCACACGATCACCTGGAAGGTTCACACGATCACCTGGAAGGTTCACACGATCACCTGGAAGGTTCACACGATCACCTACGCAAAGTGTATCGCTTTATATCCTTCAAAAAATACAAGAGTGCAGCAGATGAAGTCGTCCTCACTCAGCCAGATGTTCCCGCCTGACCTGCGGCAGCGGCAGACAGCAACTCTCTCATCCTCAATTATATTTGTTTCATCAATTTGCTTCATGCAAGTAAATAATGAATGATAAATATTTTTCTGATATTATTATTTATTATTATTATTATTATTATTATTATTATTATTATTATTATTATTATTATTATTATTATTATTATTATTATTATTATTATTATTATTTTTGTTGTAAAATGCGTTGTTTTTGCAATTTGTTTCCATGTTTTACGTTATATACTTTTATATTTATTATCCTCAATTTAGAGCATGAAAATAAGTCATAATTTTTTCATATAATTATTAGTATTATTGAGCGTATTTTTTTTTATCTAAAAACTTTATTACTTTAGGTTAAAATTAGATATTTCCTTATTTATTTTTATAGACATAATTTCATTAAATTTTCGTTAACGTAAACTGCGTTCATTATTGAGTGAACAATTTTGCCTCATTTGCAAATATTTTAACAAATTCGCATCTCAGTAGCTTTTCTAAATACTATATTTAATATATATATTCCACAACTGTCTTGTAATTACTAATAAACAAGATTATTTTATTCATAGGGTTTAAATGTTAAATGCGTAGTAGCCATCCAGGTCTTGGGGAAGAAGAAGCAATTAAATTTGATCCAAGGAAGGTTAGGATAGCTCCACTTTCTTGAATCTAGATCCTTTCAGAAGGAGCATCAAGGCACCATCCTTGAAAGGATAAATTAACAAGAGCCTAATAAGCTTGATGTCCGCCATGACACGTGGCTGCGCGGCACCTGGCAGGTCCTACCCTACTTTTTCGACCAATTTTAGCGTCAATATCTAACTCTAGTGCTTCTGGATGTACAGGTCGACTGGGGAATATTCAGAGGATGCTTGTACCACGCGGTGAAGAGCGGCAAGTGAGGGACATAACAGATAAAGGACAAAATATGCGAGAACCAGCTGTCACACCACTGAAGGTAGGTAGGCGTTAGGAGTACCTTGACGTAGGTGATGAGCTCTTGATCCACCGTGATTGACTCCTATTTCCCAGGCGCTGTATGACTCCTATAGGTTTAGTGTTTCTTTTGAACAATAATTATAATCCTCTACGGTTAATCTGCATTGCGTAATAAACTATGTAACATTCTAGAACTATGGTAAACCTGTATACTATATTCTAGAACGATGGTAAATCTGTATACTATATTCTAGAACGATGGTAAACCTGTATACTATATTCTAGAACGATGGTAAACCTGTATACTATATTCTAGAACGATGGTAAACCTGTATACTATATTCTAGAACGATGGTAAACCTGTATACTATATTCTAGAACGATGGTAAACCTGTATACTATGTTCTAGAACGATGGTAAACCTGTATACTATGTTCTAGAACGATGGTAAACCTGTATACTATATTCTAGAACGATGGTAAACCTGTATACTATGTTCTAGAACGATGGTAAACCTGTATACTATATTCTAGAACGATGGTAAACCTGTATACTATATTCTAGAACGATGGTAAACCTGTATACTATGTTCTAGAACGATGGTAAACCTGTATACTATGTTCTAGAACGATGGTAAACCTGTATACTATATTTTAGAACGATGGTAAACCTGTATACTATGTTTTAGAACGATGGTAAACCTGTATACTATGTTTTAGAACGAAGGTAAACCTGTGTACTATGTTCTAGAACGATGGTAAACCTGTATACTATATTCTAGAACGATGGTAAACCTGTATACTATGTTTTAGAACGAAGGTAAACCTGTGTACTATGTTTTAGAACGATGGTAAACCTGTATACTATGTTCTAGAACGATGGTAAACCTGTATACTATGTTCTAGAACGATGGTAAACCTGTATACTATATTCTAGAATGATGGTAAACCTGTATACTATGTTTTAGAACGAAGGTAAACCTGTATACTATGTTCTAGAACGATGGTAAACCTGTATACTATGTTCTAGAACGATGGTAAACCTGTATACTATGTTTTAGAACGAAGGTAAACCTGTATACTATGTTCTAGAACGATGGTAAACCTGTATACTATGTTCTAGAACGATGGTAAACCTGTATACTATATTTAGAACGATGGTAAACCTGTATACTATGTTTTAGAACGATGGTAAACCTGTATACTATGTTCTAGAACGATGGTAAACCTGTATACTATGTTTTAGAACGAAGGTAAACCTGTATACTATGTTCTAGAACGATGGTAAACCTGTATACTATGTTTTAGAACGAAGGTAAACCTGTATACTATGTTTTAGAACGAAGGTAAACCTGTATACTATGTTCTAGAACGATGGTAAACCTGTATACTATGTTTTAGAACGAAGGTAAACCTGTATACTATGTTCTAGAACGATGGTAAACCTGTATACTATGTTTTAGAACGAAGGTAAACCTGTATACTATGTTCTAGAACGATGGTAAACCTGTATACTATGTTTTAGAACGAAGGTAAACCTGTATACTATGTTCTAGAACGATGGCAAACCTGTATACTATGTTCTAGAACGATGGTAAACCTGTATACTATGTTCTAGAACGATGGTAAACCTGTATACTATGTTCTAGAACGATGGTAAACCTGTATACTATGTTCTAGAACGATGGTAAACCTGTATACTATGTTCTAGAACGATGGTAAACCTGTATACTATATTTTAGAACGATGGTAAACCTGTATACTATGTTTTAGAACGATGGTAAACCTGTATACTATGTTTTAGAACGAAGGTAAACCTGTGTACTATGTTCTAGAACGATGGTAAACCTGTATACTATATTCTAGAACGATGGTAAACCTGTATACTATGTTTTAGAACGAAGGTAAACCTGTGTACTATGTTTTAGAACGATGGTAAACCTGTATACTATGTTCTAGAACGATGGTAAACCTGTATACTATGTTCTAGAACGATGGTAAACCTGTATACTATATTCTAGAATGATGGTAAACCTGTATACTATGTTTTAGAACGAAGGTAAACCTGTATACTATGTTCTAGAACGATGGTAAACCTGTATACTATGTTCTAGAACGATGGTAAACCTGTATACTATGTTTTAGAACGAAGGTAAACCTGTATACTATGTTCTAGAACGATGGTAAACCTGTATACTATGTTCTAGAACGATGGTAAACCTGTATACTATATTTAGAACGATGGTAAACCTGTATACTATGTTTTAGAACGATGGTAAACCTGTATACTATGTTCTAGAACGATGGTAAACCTGTATACTATGTTTTAGAACGAAGGTAAACCTGTATACTATGTTCTAGAACGATGGTAAACCTGTATACTATGTTTTAGAACGAAGGTAAACCTGTATACTATGTTTTAGAACGAAGGTAAACCTGTATACTATGTTCTAGAACGATGGTAAACCTGTATACTATGTTTTAGAACGAAGGTAAACCTGTATACTATGTTCTAGAACGATGGTAAACCTGTATACTATGTTTTAGAACGAAGGTAAACCTGTATACTATGTTCTAGAACGATGGTAAACCTGTATACTATGTTTTAGAACGAAGGTAAACCTGTATACTATGTTCTAGAACGATGGCAAACCTGTATACTATGTTCTAGAACGATGGTAAACCTGTATACTATGTTCTAGAACGATGGTAAACCTGTATACTATGTTCTAGAACGATGGTAAACCTGTATACTATGTTCTAGAACGATGGTAAACCTGTATACTATGTTCTAGAACGATGGTAAACCTGTATACTGTATTCTAAGACGAAAGCTCCGTGTAAATATGCAACATAATATAAAATTTTCTAACGAAAATCTCTGGTTTGGAGACATTAACATCAATAGTCTATAATTTTTTTTTGACCAAGGGAGAGGAGGGAGTGCATTAATACAGCTATATGTTAGGCAAGATTTGTCCGGAAACAGGACAAGTGTTTCCTGACGCTGGTCGTAGTCATACAATGACCCGCAGCCAGAGCTTTTGGTCATCTGACCGAGGCCTTCCACTGGCTTACCCCTCCACCCCTTTAAAAATTATGGTTGTGATTATAACCATTTTTTCACTGCCGAAGGGCTGTTGATCCAGGGAATGCAGCCACTTTGCCCTTCCTCGAATCAAACCTCATTACCTTCCGTTCCACAGGCGCTGTATGACCCCCTGCGGATTTGGCGTTTATCCGGGAATATAAAAAAAAAATTGCATTCAGGATTTACGAGTGGCTCCCTCTTCCTTCTTCACCACGTACTCTCCTTTCTAGAGAAGTGCCTTGATGCCGATGAGGGGCTCTTGATCCAAAGAACTGGCCTCTTCCTCCTCTTCCTTGGATCAAACTTAAATGGCACCCATTCCACAGGAGCTGTATGACCTCTATGAGCTTAGTACTTCCTCTAATTAAAATAAAGAAATAAAATGCAATATGTTGTTCAAGACTTCTCTTAAAAGACTATCAAGGGTCTAATCTAAGACTTTCAAGGTCATCTTATGACCAAGAGATCAGATGGTGCAACTATTAATTTTAGGCTCATACATATTGATATTTGACACCTTTATCACTGATAAATCTTTTAAATAGTCTTGATAATAATTTTAAAGTTTATCAGGTATACACAAAACAAAAAATAAATAATTAGTTTTACAAGACTTGTGAAACTAACCTTAACTGCAAATACAAAAAAATAATTTATTTCTATTTTCTCAATGTATTTTTGTGTTTTATAAAAATATTTGTGCCTGTCATGAGTGATTAACTGTTAAAGAGTTCTGCGTTGTAACAGGTTTGTGAGTATTCTTTCCCTCTTGTCATGAAAATTTAACCTGGAGTTTACCTGGAGAGAGTTCCGGGGGTCAACGCCCCCGCGGCCCGGTCTGAGACCAGGCCTCCTGGTGGATCAGAGCCTGATCAACCAGGCTGTTGCTGCTGGCTGCACGCAAACCAACATACGAGCCACATGC